GGTCCAAATAGGTTGGTCAATATTTGAGCCTCCTAGAACCTTCAATAATGAGATTTCAGTGGCAACATGATCTGTAAGGCATATCTCGAGGCATTGGAGCGAAAGAAGATATTGATGTCCTCCTTCTATAAACAGAACATCAACTTTATTTGCCAATCTGTAGTATTTAATTTGTCATTTAACATTTTCTGATTCATTATTATATGTCCTCCTTGTGTTCTACATTCAAATTATATGTAGATTAGTGGCTTTGACCAAATTGGTTACTGAACTCCACCTTCTCAGAAAGGTTGTATGTTCTGTAGGGGTCCCAAACTGCTACTATTTAACAGATCATACTGTAACCAATTATATGGATCAATGAAACATATGGCAAGCATTTATCAATTGAAATTCTCTACTAATAGGAAATCTTGAATCTTGTCCCAGTTCTAACAAAAGTAAAATTCTCTGTTGTATTTGAAATTGCATATTAATGATTTACTATGTTTGCATATGAACTTGGTTGTCACTTTGTTCAACCATGTATGCAGAGATGTCGAAGCAAAATCAGGTGAAAAATCTATTCAAATCAATCAAAGGGATTTCTTCACATGCTCCAGAGCAGTCATCACATGCCCAGTCTCAGACTCAAGCTTCATCTTCGGTCTTCTGACCGAGTCTCTTACGTCATGCACAACCCATCACTCCATCTTCATCAACTAATAGAGTCTCATCACAAAATGGCATTCCATCTTCATCAACTAATAGAGTCTCGACACAGAATGTCGTTCCATCTTCATCATCTGATGGAGTCTCATCACAGAATGTTATTGCATCTTCATCATCTGATGGAGTCTCTTCTGATGTTTTATACTTCAATACCACACAAGAGGGGGTGATTTGTGTGGTACCCAATTTTTTCGCTTAACTTGATTATAGAAGGACCTGGTTCTTCTATGTGTTCCAACTACTACTGTTGCGGAATAATAAGTACAGAAATTAAAGAACATAAAGATTTTACGTGAAAAACACCTGCCTCAAAAGGTGAAAAAAATAACGACCTACTTTCCAGTAGGATTTTCCCAAACTCTCCACGAAAATCACTGAGCCAAAATCTGCATTAACAAAAACTCTTTTGTAAACCTAGGATTAACTCTAATTCCGTTGTAGCACACAGCCTCAACTGTTGCGACAACAAATTAACTCTAACTTGAAAACTCTGAGTACCTAATACAATTTCTTCTAGATAAGCTGAAAAGTACAATATGAAAATCACCTACTACAATTGAACTAGAATAAAAGACAGACACTTGGAATTGGTTCTTCTATTTGGTTCAAGTAACTTCAGGTTTGCACGCTTGAATCACACACAAATTGCTTTCAAAATTGCATTGCTATTGTGCTCTCAATTTACGTTTTACTTCTGCTTATGTGCGTTACCTGTAAAAGAGAACAACAGTGATATTTATGGAGTTAGTAATTAGCGATTCACTAGAATTCTGATGCTACTCTTCCATGGTGGAAGAGTTCTAGTTGAACTCATCCTCTAACTCTATCCGTCTCTTAAGCAGTGTTCTCTTTGTGTAAGGAGTCTTTCTCCTTATCCAGTATGCAAACTTTTCGATCATGATCAGGAGATATCACTTCTGGTAAGTTAGGTTTATCTCCTTAACGTGCATCTCACATGCTTGAGTTGACCATATCTGTGCCTCACTAGGATAGACCTGGTCCATGTCTGAGTTCCTTTGTCAGTCTTCAAAACTCACCTTTACTTGAGCCAACAAATTTCCCCTTTTTGATGATGACAAACTCTGTTCTTTCCACTCACTTAAGCCATGTCAGAACTCATCTTATTCATCAATGCAAAGTTAGAAATTTTTACTTATCATCAAGGACCAGGTTCATTAGGTTATAAACATAACTTATTCAGAATATAAAGCACAATATCTCTTCCCCCTTTTGGAATCATCGGAAAGTTGCATAAACACAGTGTGTCCCACTAATCACTCATGGCCACTAAGGCAACTGGAAGTGCAATTATGGATTAATCATCAGTAATCACCAAGCATATTCAAACTATCAAGGAAATATAAACAGTCAACAAGAGCAAAAATAGTAAACTTCATTGATAAGGGATATGATTCTACCACAATCCACAAAAAGAAACAAAAATAGTCAAAACATGAGCAAAACAAGAAAAATCCCTAATCTGGGTCACTCAAAGGTCTAGACAAGGTTCAGGAAATTAGGGCTAAAGATCTTAAGGCTTGGAAGAGCTGGAGGGTTGGGTTTTTGGCTTGGAGAAGGTGCAACATATTTTGAAGAATGCCATCATTCTTCTCCTTTTCCTTCGTGAGCTCAGTTCTGAGAGCATCTCTCTCATATTCCACCTCTGCTAAACGAGCCTTCAGCCTAGCTATCTCAGCATCCTTTGCCCCACTCTCCTGCACCAGAGCTCTGACTTTGCTATTTATAGGTGTCTTCTTAGATGAACCAGGTTCATTGGGAATGGCAGTGACCTCATAGTCACAAGCAATCAAAGTGTTGATTCCAAAATGGTCTTTGCTTGTGGCCATCTCCCACTTCTTTAGTGGCACCTTACAACGACCCAGAACAATAGTCAGAATAAACCCATAAGGGGCATGGGCCTTGGAGCCATTGATAACCCTGTCCAGTAGCTTGATAATAAATGCAGGCCAGTTGATCCGCCTTTCACTTTCAAGACATTCCATCAAAACCAAGTCCATATAGTTAGCAATGTGCCTTCTTTCCTGCCTAGGCAGTAAGCACTTATTGACAAATTCAAATAGGACTTTGTGGCAGGGCTTCATTTCACTCTTATGCACAACCTTGGCCTCATTCACTTCTGTGACATCACAGAATTTCCTGGTGATTGCGAGGGCAGTAGGAAGGGAGTCCAAACTTGGCCATATTTGCCTTGTGTAGTCATCATACCCTTCAAAAGGAATGTCAAGGATCTCACCAAGCTCTTTTGCATCAAAGGTCACTTGAACCCTTTTCACCTGGCTGGTAACTCTGCCATCCCTGACCTCTGCAATTGCAATGAATTCAATGATCTCATTCCTTGCTAGCCTACCATCCAACTGAAGGACCATGTCCTTCCAGCCTTGAGCAGCTAGAGCATCAACCAATCGAACAATCCCCGGTTCCACCAAATCCTTCAAAAGTCTACCCTTCAAGATTTTTCTTTTGCCAAATTTGGCTGGCTTATCTTGTTCATGGTCAGATTCACCCTCTTCTTCATCACTCCAATCTTCACCTTCAGTAATCTTCACTTGCTTGGCTTTCACAGCAGACCTTGTTCTTTTAGCCAAAGAAGAAAGTTCAGCAGCCTTGGAAATAGATGAAGACTTCTTGGAAGAATTCTTGATTTTCTTTGAACCTCCACAGTTGTGTGTTCTTCCTGATGGACTTGATCCATCTCATCCACATCAACAGCCTCAGCAGGCTCTAAAACCTTAGCTTTCCCTTTATCCATCCACTTCTTCTTGCTTTCTGCCACAACCTTTTGTAACTCACTCTCACTCTGCTTCACCATACTTCTTGGGGCCCTCCCTTTTGGTAGGGGAATCTCAGCAGTTGTTGGAGAAGTAGCCTTTCTTTTCTTGGTATTCTTTACGGTGCTGGGAGCCTTTGTTGTTGGGGTTCTCCTTTTCTTGGGGTTATAACTAGCACCTACTTTCTTTAGAAGATTTGCTAGGGTCTCCTCAATAGATGAACCGGGTTCATCTACATGTGAACTTAGATTAACCAGCCCTTCAGCAGCCTCCCCTAATCCACTTCCCCCTGTTTTCTTGCTACTTTCTTCTATAACTTAATCCTCAGCCCCACTGATAGCGGGGTGGGTGGAGAATCAGCCACTTCTATCCCTCTTCCCCTCACATCACCACTCGCACCCTCACTCTCTTTTTTCACTTTTTTTACCTCCTCTCCTTCTTGACTCAGGTGTTTCCACATTCATAACAGACCCAACCAGAACAAATCTATTATCAAAATTTTCAACCAGAACAAATCTATTATCAAAATTTTCAACCAGAACGGAGCGTACCTCAGAAAGGGGATTTTGAACTTTCTCAGAATTAGAAGACCCAGTTCCTTCCCCCTAACTCGCAAATTTGAAGGTATCATATGAGTTTTCAGAGTCTTGGGCTTGGCTAGCCTTCAATTGTGTAGTTAGTTTCTTTGAAAGTGCACCTGTAGCCACAGTTTTGCGAGGTTGGGGGTAGTGCTGGGTTGAGGAGGTGTGGAGGAATCAGATGGGGTAGGTTGTGGAGGAGTACCTGGGATATCTTGAGGTTAGACATCTTGCTAATTCTGGAAAAGGATTTTTGAATTGGGGTTTTGGAGGAGAGAAGAATAGAGAGCAGAAAAAATTTGACGGTTTTAGAATTATGAGAGTGGCGGTGATGATGATGATGGTTTTTAAAGAGAGAAGATTAATTAATGACTAACGGTAGCTTTTCACAGTCAATTAGAAGTCCAATCAACCTGAAATTTTAGGTTGAATGTGTGGTTAAGCTTCCCTAGATTTTAGGCATTTTGTGCGGTGAGAATTCTAGTGGAGACGGAACTGGTTCAAATGTCAAAGGAAAGGTTTTATGAGGTATTTGATCATAGGTAGGACTCTGCTCATGAATTAAATATTAATATTTCTAATTGTGCAGAGTGTAGAAAACATACTTCGTTATTCAGATGAACTAGTACTGATGAACCAGGTTCTTCACTAAGAATCCTCTTGATCATGCCTCAATTTGCCAAAATAGAGAAATTTGTTAGAGATCAGTGAGTCATATCAACACATGGCGTAGGAGTATACTATTTACAGTATGAAGCTGAGTAAAAATCAATCTAGATATTTACACAAGTTCCAGATTTCCTAACCAAAAAAGTTTTTTTTTTCATTGTGCATTCTGAACTGGTCCCATTAGGTGATTTTAATCATCCCTAACTCTAACCTGTTCCTTTCAAAGTACTCTCTACTCAGTGGTTTAGTGAAGATGCCAGCAATCTGTTTATCAGTAGCACCAAATTCTATGGTAATCAGTCCTTTCTCATAGTTGTCCCTCAAAGAGTGGTGTCTAACATCTATGTGCTTAGTTCTCTTATGATGAACTAGGTTCTTAGTCATACTAATAGCACTAGTTTTATCACAAAAAATAGGGATGCAACCAACTTCCATACCAAAATCCATCAACTGTTGTTTGATCCACAACAATTGAGCACAACAAGAGGCAGTAGCAACATACTCAGCTTCAGCAGTAGATAAGGCCACTGAGTTTTGCTTTTTAGTGGCCCATGATACCAGACATGTACCAAGAAAGTGACCATACCTGAGGTGCTCTTCCTGTCCATAAGGAAACCTGCATAGTCAGCATCAGCATATCCCACTAAATTAAAGTTGCTACCTTTTGGATACCAAAGGCAAAGGTCAGTGGTGCCTTTCAAGTATCTCAATATCCTCTTGACAACAGTCAAGTGGGATTCCTTAGATTTGCTTGAAATCGAGCACAAAGCCCTACACTGAAGACAATGTCAGGTCTGCTAGCAGTAAGATACAAAAGTGAACCAATCATACACCTATACAACTTCTGATCAACAGATGAACCAGGTTCATCTATGTCTAATTTAGTAGTTGTTGCAATAGGAGTGTCTATTTCCTTTGATTCGTCCATTTTAAACTTATTAATCAACTCTTTTGCATATTTCTGCTGATGGATCATGGTTCCATTTGAGTTTTATTTGATCTGTAAGCCTAAGAAGAAGTTAAACTCACCCATCATACTCATTTCAAATTCACTCCCCATTAATTTAGCAAATTCCTTACTAAGTTTTTCAGTGGTTGCCCAAAAAATTATGTCATCAACATATATTTGTACCACTAGTAGATCCTTACTTTTTTCCCTCAAGAATAGAGTACTATCAATCTTACCTCTCTTGTAGCCATGTTCAAGCAGGAATTTGGATAGTCGTTCATACCACTCTAGGGGTCTTCTTGAGTCCATAGAGTGCCTTGTCCAGTTTATATACATGATCTGGACACTCCTTGCATTCAAACCCTGGAGGTTGTTTGACAAATACTTCTTTCATTAAGTAGCCATTTAGGAAAGCACTCTTCACATCCATCTGGTGAAGAGTAAATTCCATGTGTGCTACAAAAGCTATGAGGAGTCTTATTGCGTCCAATCTTGTAACTGGAGCAAAGGTCTCATCATAGTCTATGCCATTCTCTTGACTATAACCTTGAACCACCAACCTTGCCTTGTTACTTGTAACAGTTCCATGTTCATTAAGTTTGTTTCTGAAGACCCATTTAGTGCCAATTACTGATCTGTCCTTGGGTCTTGTAACCAGATGCCAAACTTGACTCCTTTCAAACTGATTGAGTTCATCTTGTATTGCATTTACCTAGTCTGCATCCTGCAAAGCCTCAGCAACATTTACAGGTTCAATAAGAGATAAGAAAGCATCAAAAGCACACAGATTCTTTAATTGAGATCTAGTTTTAATTCCAGAGGTTGGATCAGTAATTATGTTCTCAATGGGATGACAACTTTGATACTTGTAAGGTTTCAAAACCAACTGGTTTTTGTTTGATGTTTCTCCCATGTTCTGTTGCTGGGGAACAAAATCATGGACATGTTCCATTTGGCAATTAGATTCAGTTCTTCTTTGTTCAGTTCCCCCTGTCAGGTTTCCCTAGATGGAAGAACCTGTTCCATCACCTGTTCCTTCTTCTGGTGCAGCTTCAGCTTGGGCTGTGACTTCACTTAATTCTTTTACCAGCCCAATAACTTCATCTTCATGTTTCTGTCTCTCAGAAAGAATGTTAGTTTCATCTAAAACTACATGTACACTTTCTTCCACACACATATTTCATTTGTTGTACACTTTATAAGCTTTGCTCTGTGAAGAATATCCCAAGAATATTTCCTCATCACTTCTGGGATCAAACTTACCTAAGGAGTCATTTCCATTGTTGTGCATAAAGCACTTGCATCCAAATGCCCTAAGATGGGGTATATTTGGTTTTCTCCCTTTAAGTAACTCATAGGGAGTATTCTCTACAAGAGGTCTAGTCATGCAACTATTAATGATGTAATATGCAGTGTTTACAGCTTCTGCCCAGAAGCTATGGGGCAGTTTACTAGAAAGAAGCATAGTCATAGCCATATCTTCAAGAGTCCTATTCTTTCTTTCAACTACTACATTTTGTTGGGGAGTCCTAGGGGCAGAAAAATTAGGATCTATACCATGCTCATCATAAAATTCAGCAAACTTAGCGTTTTCAAATTCAATTCCATGATCAAACCTAACTGATGCAAGTTGATTACCTAGTTGTTTATGAGTTTTTCTAACAAAGGTAATAAACATTTCAAATGCTTCATCCTTAGATGTTAAAAACAATGTCCAAGTAAACCTAGAATAATCATCAACAAGCACCATCACATATTTCTTATCACCTATGCTTAATGTTCTCATTGGACCACAGAGATCCATGAACCAGGTCCATCGACCTGGTCGTGCGTACAACTTTCTTGCTTTTAAAAGAGGATCTTACATGCTTCCCCCTTGTACAAGCTTCACAAACTTTGTCTTCCTTAAACTTGTTGTTAGGCAGCCCTATCACCAGATCCTTGGAGACTAATTTGTTGAGTTGACTTAGACTTGCATGTCCAAGTCTTTTCTGCCACAGGAGGGGATCACTGTCCAACACACTTAAGCAAGTGAGTTCATTTTCTGAAAGAGTGGACAGATCTACAACTTATATATTGTTCACTCTTTTTCCCTGCAAAACAATCTTGTCAGTGGTAAGATTTATCACAAAACCTTTGGTAGAGGAGAATGCTACCAAGTTACCTCTATCACACAGTTGTGATACACTAATCATGCTATATTTCAAGCCATCTATCAGGTAGACATTCTCAATGGAATGTGAGTCTATCTTAACTACCTTACCAACCCCAATGATCTCACCTTCCTTACCATTTCCAAAGGAGACATTACCTCCTTTGAGGTCCTCAAGTGAAAGGAACTAGTTCTTGCTTCCAGTCATATGCTTTGAGCAGCCACTATCCATGTACTATATTTGGCTGCTCTCCTTCACTTTGACTTGCAAGAGAAAATCAGGGGTTAGTCTTAGGAACCCAAACTAGCTTGAGTCCATTTCTATAGGCAAAAGGGTGAATTAAATTATTTTTAGCCCATCCTGGCAGCCTATTTTTCCATTGAACAAAGGTTTTGTTCTTTTGACTGGCCTTTTCTTTTGTATTACATTCACTTTTAAAGTGACCAGTCTTACCACAGTGTGCGCAGATTTTGTTCTCAGGAAGTGTGATGTACTTGCTTTTGGGATCCCACTTAGGTGTAGGGGTCCAATAGCCAAGTCCTCTCTTATTGCTACTATGATGTTCTTGTAGCCAGGATAGTGCATCGGAGGACTTATTCCATTTGCAAGTACTGTCTAGTTCACACTTAACCTTCCCTAGATCCTCTTTTAGGACTCTTTCTGCTCATCCTTTTTGTACAACTCATCCTTCATTTTTCCTAAATTTTCTTTTAAGGTGAGGTGTATGTGATCAGCTTTCTTTTTACCTGTTCCTAATTTCAGTTTTAGATTTTTAGATCTAAGCTCTAACACAGTGGTGTCAAGTTCAAGAACCTGGTTCTTCAACTCAGTATTTTTACTATCACTTTCACTAGCCCTGAGTTCCAGATTTTTGCACTTAGCTTTCAGGATTATACATTCCCTAGACAGTTATTCCTTCTCATTGTTTATGACCTCAGACTCATCAATGAAATCTAGCAGCAACTCAGATAGGTTTTCTTTAGACAAAAATTTAATCTTGTATTTGAGATGAATCGCACTTGCCTCTAGTTCATCATTTGATTCTCCAATGGCCATAAGTTCCTTATTCATCTCCAGCTTCATCTTCTGAATCCTCATCTGAGCTTTCTCCCCAAGCAGCAACCATAGACTTTGTTGATCCTTTGTTCTTCTTGGGATGAACCTGTTCCTTCTTCCTATTTCTTCGTTCAGCCCTTTCTTTCTTCCATTCAATTTCCCACTGAGGACAGCTCTTGATCATGTGGTCAGTCTTACCACATTTGTAGCAGCCCTCGTTGGTCTGTTTTTCAGGGGCCCTTGGTTTGTTGAAGGTTGCACCTCTCGAAGAACCCTTTCCTCTCATTAGATACTTTTTGAAATCTCTCGTGATCATAGCCATTTCATCATCCTCTAGATCTGCACCTTCAGCTATTCTAAGGGCTAAGCTCCTTTCCTTCTTGGGTGCATCCATCTTCATGGTTTGCCTTCTAAGTTCATAGGCAGTGAGATTTCCAATTAGCTCATCCAACTAATACTGTTGCAGAATAATAAGTATAGAAATTAAAGAACACAAAGATTTTACGTGGAAAACACCTGGCTCAAAAGGTGAAAAAAACCACGACCTACTTTCCAGTAGGATTTTCCCGAACTCTCCACTAAAATCACTGAGCCAAAAACTGCATTTACAAAAACTCTTTTGTAAACCTAGGATTAACTCTAATCCCGCTGTAGCACACAACCTCAACTGTTGCGACAACAAGTTAACTCTAACTTGAAAACTCTTAGTACCTAATACAATTGCTTCTAGATAAGCTGAAAGGTACAATATGAAAACCACCTACTACAATTGAACTAGAATAAAAGACAGACACTTGGAACTGATTCTTCTATCTGGTTCAAGGAGCTTTAGGTTTGCACGCTTGAATCACACACAAATTGCTTGCAAAATTGCCTTGCTATTTTGCTCTTAATTTACATTTTACTTCTGCTTATGTGCATTACCTGTAAAAGAGAACAACACCGATATTTATGGAGTTAGTAATTAACGATTCACTAGAATTCTGATGCTACTCTTCCATGGTGGAAGAGTTCTAGTTGAACTCATCTTCTATCTCTATCCGTCTCTTAAGCAGTGTTCTCTTTGTATAAGGAGTCTTTCTCCTTATCCAATATGCAACCTTTTCGATCATGATCAGGTGATATCACTTCTAGTAAGTTAGGTTTATCTCCTTCACGTGCATCTCACATGCTTGAGTTGACCATATCTGTGCCTCACTAGGATGGACCTGGTCCATGTCTGAGTTCCTTCGTCAGTCTTCAAAACTCACATTTACTTGGGCCAACATCTTCACAACCAACTAGACGTAGATGAGTTACAGATGACTCGGAGCTTCGTGATTGGGTTGTCGATGTTATAGGTACATATAAATTAAAAATGATTTTGTTTTCCTTGATTAATATTTTTTATATGTTCTTTATTTTGTTGCAGATGAACATCAAGTGATAAAATCTATTAGGTTGAAGGTTCAGGATGTCCATAACATGGAGAATCAATAGCGTATAATTGTAGAATGTGATGAGTTTGCTCTACCTATTGGAAAATCAGCCGGCCTTCTTGCAGGATTTTTGGGGCATCTTGCTACAAATCCTCGATACTTTTCTACTGGCTTCAAGAGTTGTGCATCCATGCCTAAAGCTTTTGTGGACCGTGCTTTTAATGATTTTGTAATGGTAATGCCTTTTAATTCTTTTGCTTAGTTTGTATGTTATAGTTCTGTCAACAGTAAACTAACATATATTATTTTTGTGAAGTCTCAGTTTTTCTTTACGAGTGATCAGCAAAAGGTAAAAGGTTGGTTTAACAACTCGCTTAACAAAAAGTGGAAGGAATTCAGGCTTACACTATGGCATGAGGCTGAGGATCCATTATTGAGTAAAGAAGATATCATCAAGAATGCTCCAGAAGGCATTCCCATGGACCAATGGGCATTGTATGTTAACTATCGTTCAAAAGAGGAACAAAGGTTCTTCTTCTTCTTCTTCTTGTTTCACTACTTGTCTCTGCTGCTTTTGCTTCTGTTTTCTTTTCCCTTTTTTGTTTCGCTGCTTCATCTCTGCCACTGTTGTGGCTTCTTTTTTTTTCCCTTTTTCGTTCTGCTTAATGCAACTGGGCCCCTTGTTGCTTTTTATATGTAACAAATATTCTCCTAGTTTGACTCGTAGTCGCTTTGCTTGAGAAATCAACGGATTCGAGGACAACAAACACTTCCCCATACTAGTGGTGCTACGAGTTTGGCTAGAAGAAGGGCTTTGATGGTAGTTTAATAGTACGTACTTACTGTCGCTTTAATGTGACAAGAGTCATTTAGTTTAATTCTACTTTTTTAAACTTTCAGAAGAAACAGGGAAAAGAAGTTGATCGCAACAAAGTGTGGACTGAGACTCATAAGAGGAAAGATGGGAGTTATGTGAATGATCAAGCTAGGGAGATTGGGGTAAGTGTTGACATGATTACTGTTGTTTCATTTGATAGATTTATACAGTTTTATTATGCTATTTCTATTCTTATAGTTGCATTTACTTGTCTAGTTAGAATGAGGGAAATAGGTGCAAATGGCTTGTCTTGGACTTTTGGTGCTTGGCTAGGTTATGGTTGCCTGTACATAATAGCATGAAGAAGGTTGAGGAGTTTTACGTTATAGGTTTAGGTAGTAAACTTTTCTTCAGCTCTCTTCGAATCTAGCTAACTCAATAACTACTTAGCATTAGGAATTTGTCAGCTGCTATTGGAGAGGGTACATGTGCCTTGTTTTTTTGGTCATGACCTAATTTTGCCACTCTGCATTCTAACCATAGTGCATGTAAATTAGTCGTGCATTTGCACTAACTATTCTTGGATAAATATCATTATTGATTGTCTGTTCAATGTTATCGATAATGTACTCACCACATATGTCAGGTATCCAATTAATTAGAAACTTGCCTAATTATTTACTGCAGAAAATCGTGGTTTTGCTCTAACCATTGTCGATCACTATTCTCTGCTTTCTTCTTTTACTTTCCTGTTAGTGGGAAAATGCCACAATGTTCCTCTATTGGTTCAATATGTGATCAGTTAATCTCTGGTGTGAGCTGTGATGCTTATTCTGCTGCTTCAAATTCTTTATATGCTCCTGTTTTTTCAGTATCACCTTCTAACCTCTTCATACATGTAAAGAGATTCTTTGTGAATGAAGTTGAAACACTATTTGAGTCATTTTCATTCTGTTATATATATACTGGTGCACCTCTACCATTTTTTTCCTTTAGCATTTTGACAGTTCAACGAATTCAACTTGTTTGTTGCATTTTTATACTATGTTTTATGAAACATTTAGTTTAAGAAATTTCTAGCATTCTGGGAGCATTAGAATGATATGAACAAAGTTTTGCAGAATACATGTTCAAGACATTCTGTTCTATCAAGGATTTATCATGTACCAGGTGTTACCAATACATTACGCAATAGTTGCATGGCTTCAATGTGCCCTATACACCCTTTAATATGATTACTGTTGTTTCATGCTTTAAGTATGGACAGCAAACTGAACATTCTCCATGAAAATGGGAGTTATCCATTTTCATTATGCTTTAACTATATTTTGTATCGCGTGTAGGAAAGAATTGAAGAAATTCGAAGTCAATGACCAGATACTCTGGCAGAATATTTTCACCGAATGACGTGCTTGGTATAGTCTTCGGTCCCAAGCACCCTGGCCGTGTTCGAGGCTTAGGCATGGGTGCAGTTTCAACTGTAGTATTCAAGATGAAGTGGTTGTTCTTATATTGGCGCAGCTAGCACTAGTGCTCCACCTCCACAATGGGTGCAAGAGATGGCAAATATGAGATCACAATTAAATGCACTAACAAGCTTATTTCAAATGAAAATAGGAAATATCCCGAGGAGTTTGCTCACTTATTTCCAACTCCTTCACAGGTACAAGTACTTATTTTTTCTTTATTTGCACATTCAACATTTGTATGTCCAAATGGCATAACCAAGTGAAACAACTGTCATACAATTTATAACTTCACTCAAATGAAGAAATAGCTGATAAAATGGGTTTAAGACAAGTAATTTATAACACTTCATCAGTAAAGTGGTTCAAAGAATACTCTCAAGTTCTTAGGTTTGTTTTAATTTGCATAGTGTATGTTAATTTATTTGTCTCTAATTTGATCTTTGAGTTGTGTGTTCTCTCAGATGGTAAATCCTCTTTTCTTGTTATGAAGTAATTGGCACTACCTGTTGACAAGAATTTATATATAGTTCAGTATCTCTTGTGAACCCCTTCTTATGAATAGGTTTCAAGCACAATATCGTAGAAGGGATACTAAAAAAGCACCTAATAGAGTATAGTGTAAAGCATAAAAAGAAGAAGAAGAGGAAATAGCTTTGTCTCTGCTGAAGATATGCTTAGATAGTCTCCTTTCTGATTGCTGACTTAATCTTCGCACAGTCAAATACACACATATTTTGGAAGCTGAATTATTACGAAGAAAGACCTCGAAAGTATTTGATGTTTCTCCAGATGTTTATGGTGCTGTCATTTTCTATAGGATGTTGGTTTGGCATTAGTTTCGATGAAAACAACTCCTCTTGGTCCAATACTGGAGAAGCTAAAAAGAAGCATTCTGTTAATTTTTGTTAACACCCATTGAATTTTTGTTTGCTGAGTTAACACCCATTGTTGCTCAGTAAAAGGCTGCTGGAATGAGAGCAGTGATTGCAGTGTTTTAAAATAAAACTGTTTGAGACTACTAATTAGCTTTTTCTATGCAGGCACCTAATCTAGGAGATGGCGTTGGAGATAGTGTTGGAGATGGCGTTGGAGATGGCATTCCGTCACCAACTAGGCCAAGAAGATCCTTTGACGAAAATAACTATGAAAACGGAGAAAATGACAATTAGTAATCATTTTTAGGATGAACTATATTTTTTTTGTGTTGTAACTGTTGAATAACTCTTTGCAACTTAAACTTGAATCTTGGATAATGTGGATTTTGGGCACTTATGTTTTAATATGATGAAAAAATTTCTTATCTAATTATCTATAATTTATGTTAATTATTTTGGTGGGTGCTTGATTACATATTATGATGGATTTTATGGAGTAAAAAGGATCTAAATGTGGAATTAAAAACTTAACATTAAAAATATTACAATTATGGTAGCTTTTGGCTATAAACTGGATGGCTATAATTGGAAAGACAACAATTACGGCGGTTAGCAACCGCCACAAACAGCAAAAGTAAACAGCCATTTTAACAACAGAGATTTGGGGTTGTTTCTCTGACATATTCTGGCGGTTAAAAGGAAACCGCCGTATTATACCTTTTAGCGGAAGCGATTCTGGCGATGTTGGATGCCGCCATTAATTACAATTACGGCGGTTCCGAACTGCCTCTATACGCCTAATAGCCCGCCGCAATTACCCCCGTTTTTTGTAGTGCCATCTGACTTGGCCCGAGCTAGCCACAGCAGCCACGCCCTCCGAGAGCTTATTTTGAGTCTGACGACACTCGTCATATGGTGAGGGATTGCCCCAAACTTAGGAGGGGTTCCCCTCCACAGAATACTCAGGCACCGCATGCTCCACCGGGTCCCCAGGCTATGATTACAGCACCAGCTACCACTCCACCTGCTCAGCCAGCTCGAGGTGGAGGTCGGGCAGGTAGAGGTCGCCCTAGAGGGGGAGGCCAGACCAGATATTATGCTCTTCCTGCCCGTATGGAGGCAGTTGCATCCGACTCTGTCATTACAGGTATTGTTCCGGTCTGTCATAGGGATGCATCAGTCTCATTTGATCCAGGCTCCAGTTATTCCTATGTGTCATCTTATTTTGCTCCGTATTTGGGTGTATCCCATAATTCCTTGAGTTCTCTGGTTTATGTGTCTACACCAGTGGGAGATTCTATTGTTGTTGACCGTGTGTATCAGTCGTGTTTGGTTATTCTTAGTAGTTTTGAGATTATTATTGCTCAGTATGGTAGACTTTGATATTATTTTGGGCTTGGACTGGTTGTCTCCCCATTATGCTATTCTTGATTGTCACGCCAAGACCGTGACACTGGCTATGCCAGGATTACCGCGGTTAGAGTGGAGAGGGACCTTAGAGTATACTCCAAGTAGAGTTATTTCATTTCGTAATGCTCAATGAATGGTTGAGAAGGGGTGTGACGCGTATCTAGCTTATGTGAGAGATGTCAGTATTGATACTCCTATTGTTGAGTCAGTTCCGGTAGTGAGGGATTATCCAGATGTATTTCTAGTAGATCTTCCGGGCATGCCGCCCGACAGGGAATTGATTTCTATATTGACTTGTTACCGGGCACTCAGCCCATCTCTATTCCCCTATTTCGTATGGCTCCTCCTAAGTTGAAGGAGCAGTTACAGGAGTTGCTTGATAAGGGCTTCATTCGGCCTAGTGTGTCACCTTGGGGGTGCTCTAGTCTTATTTTTGAAGAAGGATGGTTCTATGCTTATGTGCATTGATTATCGCCAGTTGAACAAAGTTATAGTGAAGAACAGGTATCCATTGTCTCGTATTGATGACCTATTTGATCAGTTACAAGGTGCTAGAGTATTTTCCAAGATTGACTAGCGTTCAGGCTATCACCAGTTGAAGATTCGGGAGCCAGATATCTCGAAGACTACTTTCAGAACTCGGTATGGTCATTACGAGTTCCTTGTGATGTCATTTGGGCTAATCAACATCCCAGCAGCATTCATGCGCTTGATGCACAGTGTATTCCGGCCCTATCTTGACTCATTCGTTATTGTGTTTATTGACGACATTCTGATGTACTCCCGGAGTCGGGAGGATCATGAGTAGCACCTAAGGACTATGCTTCAGACCTTGAGAGAAAGGAAGTTATATGCAAAATTTTCAAAGTGTGAGTTCTGGCAAGACACAGTGGCATTTTTGTGTCACGTAGTGTCCAGTGAGGGGATCAAGGTGGATCTGAAGAAGGTTGAAGTAGTGCAGAAGTTAGCCACGACCGTCCTCAGCTATGGAGATCCAGAGTTTCCTTGGTTTGGCTGGGTATTACCGTCGATTTGTAGCGGGTTTCTCATCTATTGCAGCACCTATGACCAGGATGACCCAGAAGGGTGCTCCGTTCAGGTGGACAGAAAAGTGTGAGTATAGCTTTCAAAAGCTCTAGACAACTTTGACTACGGCCCCAGTATTGGTATTTCCTACAGGTTCGGTGTCTTATACTGTATATTGTGATGCGTCGCGGATTTATCTCGGCGCGGTGTTAATGCAGGACGGTAGGGTGATTGCCTACACGTCTAGACAACTGAAAGTGAATGAGAAGAACTATCTTGTCCACGACCTTGAGTTAGAAGCTATTGTTCGTGCCTTAAAGATTTGGTGGCACTATTTGTACGGTGTCCCTTATGAGATCTACACCGATCACCAGAGTCTACAACATCTGTTCAAACAGAAGGATCTTAACTTGCGTCAGCGGAGGTGGTTAGAGCTTCTTAAGGATTATGATATCACTATTCTATACCATCCCGGGAAGGCCAATGTGGTGGCCGATGCCTTAAGTCGTAGGGCGGAGAGTTTGGGAAGCTTAGTATATCTACCAGCAGTAGAGAGGCCATTGGCGTTGGATGTTCAGGCGT